CACCCGGCGAGCTGACGGCCATCCAGTGCAAAAACGTCCCCGATTACCTCAACGACAGGACGGTGCTGGAGAAGCACTTTGGCCAGTTCGTAAAAGTCCGACGGATCATGACCCGGCGCAATAAAAAAACGGCCGTTGTCCACTTCTTCGATCATGTGAGTATGGGAAGCTTACATCGAAGCGTTGGGGATGGGTTTGTCTCTGCCGAGAGCTGCGTTGCTGCGTGGAAACGCTGTCTGTTTTTCACCTTTTGTATCGCAAGCGCTGTATTACAGATAGAAGTGTACTGAGCTGCACCTAAACTGTGTAGCTGCCAGAGCTCTGCCTGGCTTTGGCTGTCCTGCCAGCATCCAGCTCAGGCACCAAAGGGAATCTTCCCTGTTTGTTGTCTCACCTTGCCCATACCTGAATTCCATACGCTGCTATGTTCTTGCTCAGGCTCTGCAGCACTGAGGGCGAGGTGAGCTCCTGCGATCTTTGCAGAGTGACCTGCTTGCTGGAAATACTGTTATGTCAGCGCTGAGGTGTGTTGAGGAGTCGGTTCAGAGACCGTGTGGTTTTGTGCTTAAAAACACGCCTTTGGTCTCAAGTGCTGTAAGCGTGCTGTAGCTCTAAGAAAAGCAGCTATTTTTGTGGAAACCAGTCCTGCTGGTTGCATGTACGTCTTAAGTGACAGGTTGAAATGCAGTAAGCAGAACTTTATGGAAATTGGTAATTATTTCTCTGGCAAAAACTGCGCTGCATGTTTCGGTGTTGTGGTGCTAATAGGTTTTCATACTCTGCTTTTGTTTTCTTTCAGGCCTCTGCAGCTCTTGCCAGAAAAAAAGCGAAAGAGTTGCACAAAGACATAGTGACATTTTGGCAAAAGAAGAAAACAAGTGAGTCTGTGTTTCCAGATATGATTACTAGGTGATGCCATCTGCTCTATTCTTGTTTCCTGATGTGCTGAGAATGATATAAAGATGATCTCCATAGTAGGAACGTTTACAACTCCAGAAGTATGGTGGTTCTCTTTGACTTCTACTTGTCACACTGTACAGTGCACAAAGACGCTGAGAGCATTGAAGGTTGTTCATTAGAGAAGCATAAAAATAGTTGTCCTGCATCAGCTAGCTCTGTCTCCAGCAGTGTCTGATAGTGAATGTGCAGGGGAGGGGGAAAAAGAACAGAATAAAGAATGTAATTGCTTCCAGGATAACTTTTTTCAGCCTTTAACAGCGTGTGGCTTGGGAACTGTGGAGGCCAGAAGGGATGACTTAACCCTTGGGAGAATTTTTCTCTTGTGAAGTTAACCAGTTGCTTTTGTAAGCTGTAAGCTTCCACCATCTGCAGTACTGTCCTCTGGTATTGAGGAAGTTTTAAATGAGCGACTGCAAATCACAGTTGGAAATTGCACTGTTTCTTTCTTGAATTCTTGTTGTCTAAAATGTTTTTGTTGATCTGAGCCAAATGCTGTTTCAGCCGTGTAAAAGAGCTGGAGACACTTGAAATGGCAGTGTAGTTTCGCAAGAGAATTTAGAAACCATTCATGCGGCCACACAAGAGGAGTAAGGTGATGTTAACTTTGTGCTTCTATCTAGAAGTAGGATGTTCTTTGGGGATGTAAGAAAATCTGGTTTCAAATGCCTTGCTGCCTGCTTCAGAGCATGGCCTGGGATGTGAGATTTCAGCTTTCAGGAAAGTGTCCTGGGAACCGAGTTCAGGAGTACTCTAGAGCGAGTGTCTGTGTTGCCAAGGTTGCATTCTGCATATCAGTGATTACATGCTGCTTGAACCAAAAAGAGAGAACAACCTGCAGAGAACTGATCTTAGAAATGGGAAACCTGGATTCCAGACCCTGCTTGGGCTTAGGGCAAGAGGAGATGTGAATGTTGGCTGTTGACCCTCTAGGCGAAAACTTAAATTGTCAAGTGCTTCCCTTTCTTTGACTTTATGAATGCTTCATGTGTAGCTTTGAGGTCCTAGTCTGGGGATGCACTTCAGATGTCAGCAAATGAATGGTTCACCACAGCTTTGACCAACCACAAACTTGCCTTCCAGAAAATGAGCAGCTGCGGGGTTGTGTTTCTGAGAATTAACTTCTTGAAGCGGCTGCTATAGAGGTGCCTGTTTGCCTTTGTCATTTTATTGTGATGTAAAGTCTATAGAAACATGGATGACAGCATTCTAAAAAAAAAAATAATCTGAGAGCATTTAAGAAATCTAACTGGTTGAAATTTTGTTCCTGGGAGAAGAAGTTCTTCTTTCCTGCAAGGTGTAGATGTAACTCTTATGGGGACATACCAGCCTCAGTTTAGGCTTGGGTATGTGAAGTTAATAATTAAAATGCCTCAGCAGGAGCACTGGGAGTTGTGGTTTACATAGGTGAAATGGATTTCAAATCCTGTAGAGCGTTACAACTTGTGGATTGTATCCCAGGAGAGCTGCCTGGCGGAGAAGGACCTGGGGGTGTTGGTTGACTACCGGCTTGATATGAGCCAGCAGTGTGCCCAGGTGGCCAAAAAGGCCAATGGGATACTGGCGTGTATCAAGAATAGTGTGACCAGCAGGAACAGGAAAGTGATCCTGCCCCTGTACTCGGCACTGGTGAGGCCGCACCTGGAATATTGTGTCCAGTTTTGGGCCCCTCACTTTAGGAGAGATATTGAGCTCCTGGAGCGAGTCCAGAGAAGGGCGACTAAACTGGTCAAGGGGCTGGAAAATAAAACTTATGGGGAGCGGCTGAGGGAGTTGGGGCTGTTTATCCTGGAGAAGAGGAGGCTGAGGGGAGACCTGATTACAGCCTACAAATACTTGAGAAGGGATGGTGGGGAGGTGGGGGAAGGGCTCTTTACATTAGTGTTGGGTGATAGAACAAGAGGAAATGGGTACAAGCTTAGTCAGGGGAGATTCAGGTTGGATGTTAGAAAGTGTTTCTTCTCTGAAAGGGTTGTCAGCCACTGGAATAGGTTGCCCAGGGAGGTGGTTGAGTCCCCATCCCTGGATGTGTTTAAGAATAGGGTGGATGAACTACTTAGGGATATGGTTTAATGGGGATTAGAGACAGTTGGACTGGATGATCTCTAAGGTCTTTTCCAATCTAAAAATCTATGAAATCTATGAAACTTGAGAGATCTTAAACTGGGAAGGGGATCAGACTTCATTTACTGGCAATCCACTGACCAATTACAGTTATTGCTCATTTCTTTAAGGAAGCGAGGCTGACTAGCAGTTGGTAGGCTTACTCGGTACAGATTCTAGTGCAAGTTTTCCTGGAAATTTTGCATACATGTACAAAAATGTGACTCTTGGATTTATTTTCTAATGCTATTTTGTTAAACAAACTGTTCACCACCATCCCAATGGGGGAAAAAAAAACAAGAGTTGTTACTTAAACTATTTAGCGAGTACCTGGCTTCATGTTTGTATGTCGCTTCAGGTCCAGCAAAAAGAGAATTTTCATCCAAAGAGAAGAATGCAGGTGAAGACGAAGGAAGGCAAAGCAGTGAAGAGCAAAACTATCAGCATTCCCCTCTTCGAAAGCCCTTAGTAAGATCCTCTGCCAGCAGTGTCATGCCTGGTAAAAGGTACGTCTGCTCCTCTAGGATGCCATCTGACAGGAAACAGCGTGGATGGGGGAAAATGATGGTCAGTGTGTGCCAAATATTCGTGTTCTTGTTGGGGAGTGTGCTTCATCTGCCTCTTCTGGTTTGGCTGAATTACAGGCTCACAGATCTCACGCTTTATCAGAAAGATCCTTCTAACTGATTATTAAGGCCTTCTACTTTGGTCTGCATGTTTCTTTTGTCTGTTCTGTTCGTAACGTAACAACACCTGCAATAGTGAGGCATAAGGGAACTGAATGAAACAGTGTAGAGCCAAAATGGGGCCATGCAGTAATGACACTGTTCTGTGGCCATGGTTAAATGAACTTCTGAAGTGAGCAGTTTTATTTGTAGGCGATTACAGGTCTGTGCAACGAGAATCCCCTTTTCAGAGTAGCTGGTGAGTTTGGATCATCGTCTTGTCTCACTTCAAGTGAATGGTCTTTGTACAGGAATCCTGGTTTGTGTCAGTCACTGAAGTGGTAGGGTTGTCATCTTTCTGTGGTACCTTAACGGTGTGTCTCATTTTGACAGAAGTCATTTGGTATGTGTAGTCAAAGAATTATAAAGATTAGTGATATATTGTGAAGGAATGCGTGTTCCTTGATTTAAAAAACATGTTTGGATCTGGGCCCTGTAAAATCTTTTAGTAATTGCTATAGAAAGCATTTGTTTTCTTTCACACCAAACAGCAGGCTTCGTTCCTGGTCTAAAATGCAAACTGCTGTGCCTTAGTGAAGCCAAAATACTGCAGTAGCCATCTGCTTCTGTCCACTCTCAGACAGATTCAGTAATACCGTTTCTCTTGTACAAAGGTTGAGGCTTTCACCACAACCGAGAGTGCTTGGCAGTGTTGTCAGGGCAGTGCTGAGGATTTAACCAGATGAACTCCCAGTGCTAGTGTTAGCTCATAGCAACCTTAGTACTTTGATACGTACTTAATTTATTTGATACGTTGTCTTGAGAACAAAAACTCCTCTAAACAGAGATGTTTGTCCTAAACAAGAGTGAACTGAGTAAGGCTGGGGCATGCGTTAGTGTATTATTGATAAAAATCTTCTACTTTCAGTTCTCCGGCAAAGAAGCCTGGTCTTCGAAAGGCGCTGCAGTTCGAAGCAGATCTGTTTGATGCTAGTTCTGAAGGGCAGAGCTCGGAGGCCTTGGGAGCTTCGTTGTCATCTCTTGGTAACCTGGTAGGATTAGTGGCCGAGACATCTGAGGAAAGGTACCGTCTTCTAGACCAAAGGGACAAAATAATGCGACAAGGTAACTACACAAGTTAGGGAGTGTAACATCTGCTTCTCTGCTGAAAAGAAGTAGGTGTTTGTTGCAAAGCTGTTGTGATATTATGGAAATGGCTTTAAAGAGAGAGTTTAACATGGAGCAGTCTGTAAAACACTCTTCTTTTGTGAGGGATTGTTGTATGTGTTATTGTAGAACACGCGTGTTTCTTGTGGAAAGTGAATAGCAGACTGTTCATCTTCTGTGAAGGAGGCCACGTAGGGAGATTGGCATCCCTGCAGGCTCTTTAAAGAAAGCTACCCAAAGCCTAATGATGTTTCTCTGAATTGAGACTATGACAACGCTGGTCATTATTTCAAGAAATGGCTCTTTGTTTCACAGTGCTGGGTTGTAAACCCTTCCATCCTGTTCTTGCCATTCCAAAGCTGACCCTGCTTTTAATTTAAGATTTGATTTTTAATATTGACAAACAGATTTCATGGCCGCTTGATGTGGAGTTGGGAAGTTGCTGGCGCTTAGTTTGGACGCAAAACAGAATAGGACACAAAACATTGGGTATCTTTTAGAGGCTCCAGTCTTTTCAGCAGAACTCTCAATATCCATGTGGGACAGTAGGAGAAACTTCCCTGAAGGAGTGGTGCAGCCCCGAGACAGAACTTGTTTGTTTCTGACCATGTCAAGGTGGGGTAAAGCCTTGCTCTGGGTAGAGGAAGGATGAGAATCTCTAGAGACCTTTTCCCACCAGCTTTTTTTGTGAACTGTTACCCTAGCAATGTCCCTCTTCACATCCATCTGCTGACTAATGTACAGTCTCCAGCTGAGGTGTCTGGCATGCTTAGGGCTCTCTTGGCGTGTCAGAGTAGTAGCTTGTCATGAAAACAAAAACAAGATAGGCTTAGTCTGTGATCATTTTTTTTATTAATTTTTTTAGCTCGAGTAAAAAGGACTGATCTTGGCAAAGCAAAAACTGTTGTTGGCACTTGCCCAGACATGTGTCCTGAAAAGGAACGCTACATGAGGGAGACAAGAAACCAGATCAGTATCTTTGAATTGCTTCTAGGATCTGACAAGGTATGAGCCCTCTGTATGCCTGAGTTTGTTGTTCCCAGGATGTCTGTTCACTTGCTGCTCATATAAAGCTGTCAGTGGTGTTTAGTTGGTTACAGGGGAAATTCTGGAGGCCATCTCATTAATGTCTTTCAAGTCCCTATTGTAAAGCAAGAAAGCTAGAGAATTGCTTTTTCACTTTAAGTCATGTATTTTAGTTAGCTGCAGGCAGGCCTTTGTAGTTCTAAAACTGTAGGGCAGCAGTATACATTGTCTTGAAGTTTTGAGTTTGAGACTAGGTCAACTCTTAGGATTCTGTCATAAAACAAAATAAAATGTTTGCTATTGTAGCAGAATGGACGTGGGTTGTTAGTGTGAACAGTGGAAACTTTAGTAGTTTGCTCCTCATTAAAGTAAAAGCATGAACGGGACGAAATCCTCTATACTCCTGAAAAGTTGAATATACTCCTTGGACTTCGATTCTTTTCTCCACATCTTCAGGTAGATCATGCAGCAGCGATCAAGGAATATAGCAGGTCCTCAGCAGATCAGGAGGAACCTTTGCCCCATGAATTGAGACCCTCTGAGGTGTTGAGCATGACCATGGACTATTTAGTGACAAACATTATGGATCAAGGAGAAGGAAACTACCGAGAATGGTACGACTTTGTCTGGAACAGAACTCGTGGAATAAGAAAGGTAAGCACTGGCAGATGGAGATGTTTGATGACAGAAAGCAAAAGAGCGCATAATGCTGTGAAAAGTGAAGCAAACAGCCATAGTAATTCAAATATTTTGAACTGCAAAGTGGCTCAAAGCACAGTTGAGATGAGTTTTCCAAAGGTAGTGCCAGATGACTGTGCTCTTCAACTGTAGTTTAAAAGTACACGCAATGCTTTCTTTATCATTCTGGTTAGGATATCACCCAGCAACACCTCTGCAACCCGTTGATGGTGTCTCTGATTGAGAAGTGCACTCGCTTTCACATCCATTGTGCTCACCACTTGTGCGAAGAGCCCATGTCCTCCTTTGATGCCAAGATCAACAATGAGAACATGACTAAATGCCTGCAGAGCTTGAAGGAGATGTATCAGGACCTGGCTAACAAGGGGATTTACTGCAAGAGTGAAGCAGAGTTCAGAGGTTACAATGTCTTGCTGAATCTCAACAAGGGTGATATTCTCAGGTGGGAACAACAGATGTCACTTGTTTTCTCTCTGCCTCTGGGAAGAATTGAGATTAAGATTAAGTCCAAACAAATCGTAATGGAAATGAAGAGTTTAGTTGAAGTTTTTTTTCTTAAAAAAAAGTGTGCTGTAATAATGTTTTATTTGAGTTTTTCAATAGGACATTTTAAAAAGTGTCTTTTTTAATAAAAGAAAAAAAGGCTTTGTTTTATCTCCTTGAATATCTCACTAGAGTTTCTGCAGGTAGTAAAAAAAACAACCAACCAAACAAAAAGTCAAGTCTTCGCTATTCTCAATCAACAATTTTTTTTTTCTTTCCCAGAGTGATATTCAGGCTTCACTGCTTTGTCTACAGCAGGACCAAGCAAAAACAGTTTTGTGGGCAGTCATACGTTCCTTTTCCGGTCAACCTCTTGACTGCCTTCTTCCCTAGACATTGGAGTGATGTACCTAAATAATAGCATGCTGATTATGCAAACATCATTAGATGATTAATGATCAGTAAATAATACTGCAAATTTAATTCACAGCCATTGGTTTTGGGCAAGAGTTGCATGTCTCACTTAAGATTCCTAATTTTAATTCCATTTTGTTACAGGCTGCTATTGAGTTGTGATGTTAATATTGAAGCAAAAGGGTTGTCTCTGTCTTTTGTCTCCACAGAGAAGTACAGCAGTTTCACCCAGAGGTTAGAAACTCTCCTGAAGTTAGATTTGCAGTTCAAGCTTTTGCTGCATTAAACAGCAACAACTTTGTGAGGTTTTTCAAGTTAGTGCAAGCAGCTTCCTATCTGAATGCCTGTCTCCTACATTGTTATTTCAACCAGGTGAGAAAAAGACAGATGGTTATTTTTTAATGTTAATCAGTAAAACAACCTGGGACTTTTGGGAGGAAATCTTAGCTGAAAACTTGGTAGATATTTAGCCTTAAAAACAATGTTCTTGCTTTTTCAGAAAGGTTTAAAAATGTATTAAGAGTTTTCTGCTATGATATAAATGGCAAATACTAAAATGCTCTTCTCAACATTTTTTTTCCCCATAACTATGTACAAATACATGTCATTTCCCCTGAAAATAATTAAGAAACAGAGAAGGATGCCTGAGACTTTGCAAAGGAGGTATCAACCTGGGCTCTCAAAAGCCCTTGCAAGCTTTTTCCTTCTGCACAAGGATTGCAAAGAGCAATGCTCAAAATGAGCAGCATCAGAGAGTAGCAGAAACTAGAAACCCAGTGCATAAAATTTAAAAAGGAAGTTAAATCTGAATACTTGTTTGTGTAGATATTTGATGACAAAGCACTGATTTCTTTTAAAAATGATTTTTGTGTTTATACTATAATCATAGCTATTTTGTGGTCTTTAACTTAGTAGTTCTGTGGATTTTTCCTTTATCTTTGCCCAGATTCGTAAAGATGCTCTCAAATCTCTCAATATTGCCTACACTGTGAGCACCCAAAGATGTACAGTGTTTCCCTTGGATCACCTGGTCCGCATGCTAATGTTCAAAGACTGTGAGGAAGCAACGGATTTTATAAGTTATTATGGCCTGAGTGTATCCGATGGGTAAGTGTAAGGAAAAGGGTGTCTGTACCTTAAGATGAGATGCCTAGTGGGGTTAAATGGATGTTAGGTGAAGCGTTAATGGGGATGGGCTGCTCCTGGAGTTTGCAACTGGAAAACAAAAAGAACAGGCAAAGGGCAGGGACTGGGTTCTGTAAGCAAAGCACTAGGAGGATGTTGGTGGGTGCAAATTTTAATAATCTGTTCTACTTTTATTGCTGTAATTACAAAAAGTTCTTTGATTTTGCATCTTTCCCTCAAGAAATGGGGTTTGTATCCCTGTAACTACTGTGACTTCCCACAATAGCTTTTTTGTGCTTACACATCTTTTTTTTACTTATACGGGTTTTTTTTCTTGCTTTGATAAAGTGACAAGGGATTTCAAGGATACAAAATTCCTTCAGCATTCTGGAAGGTGGTAGAAAATGAGAGAAACATTTCTCCTAAAGGAGAGACTGCATATTGAGCTCAGACTCCAGGGACTTCCTCACTGGAAAGAGATGGTGTGCATAACTCAGTAGGAAAAAAAAATTGGTCTGGGTTCTTATCTTACAGTTGAATTGTAGCAAATTACAGCTCTGTAGGAAGTGAGGATACAATTCTGCTTCTTGGGCAACTGGTATTGTGGTGATGCATGTAGTGCAGGATGAAGCCCAATAGTGCAAGCCGTTTTTTTGCAGATGTTGGAGGCCAACGGTTTGCAGGTAAGAGTGTCTGCCGTGGAAATCATAGAATCATGGAATGGTTTGGGTTGGAAGGGACCTCAAAGATCATCTAGTTCCAACCCCCCTGCCATGGGCAGGGACACCCTCCACTACACCAGGTTGCCCAAAGCCTCATCCAGCCTGGCCTTGAACACCTCCAGGGATGGGGCATCTTTACATCTGTAAGGTGTGCTCGTACAGACTTGCAATCTCAAGAGGCTGGAGAAGGCAGAAAACTTGAGCGTGCCAGTTAGTGCTCTATTTCCTGTTAATGTTCTGTTTTGAGATAATAAATAGCCAGACTACAGGTGCCAAGAGATAGCCCTGGCATCTGTAATGTGTGATGTAATCTAGGTAAAATATGCATGGATAATATACACAGTGTATAAGGGTTGAAAGGGGAAAGAGATGGAATAGTTCACAAGGGTGCCTGGAAATGTTAGTGCAGCTTGTACTCTGTCCTGGGAGGACAGCTGTGAGGGCAATGCTCTCTGCCTTCCCTGCTCTGGTTCCAGGTGAAGATTAACATCTGGGCTACAGGGGAGCAATCCTGAGTGCCCAGTACCTGTCTCTCTTTGCCCTGCTAAGCTGTCCAGCTGAAAACCTGCTTGTTACTGGAGCTTCGAGTGTGTACTCCTGGTTTTTATTTTTACCCAGTGCTTACGTGGAGCTGAATCGCTCAGCTTTCTTGGAGCCAGATGGATTACCCAAACCACGTAGATCGATGTTTGTCAGTCAGAAGCTGTCGGTCTCGGTTGGGGAAGTTGTCAATGGTGGGCCATTGCCCCCAGCGCCTCACCACATACCTGTGTCCAGCTTCAATGGACAGAACAAATATACTGGTGGAAGTGCTCCTGTGGATCAAGCTAGTAGCCAAAAATCCAGCGTGGAAGCAACAGGTAAGAGCAAACATGCGTTTTAGATACAGCTCAGGAACATACGGCTGGGTCAGCTCTGTGAGTAGTTTTATTTTACAAGGCAGGAACTGTTCTTGGCTCCTATGGGTTGAAATTGTGTGGAAATTTGTTTGTATGAAAGTATGTTTTTGTTTAAATATACTTGTGTATTTGTAAAAGCTAAGAAACTTGGTGATTAATAAAATGTATTTCCCAATACAGGAAATTTACTAATGGAAATGAGCACAATTTTGCCAACATAGGTGAAATAACTGGATTCTTGGCTAATTGAGATAGCCAACTTCCCTCTTCAGTTTGCAGATTTTGTATTGCAACTGTTCGTTCCCACTGTATGTAGAACGTTGTTTTTCAAGTTGACTGAATGTGTACTTTTTTGTCTTTGTTGAAAGTACATGTGTTTTGCATTTATTCAAGAGGTGTGTGTAGGTGCTGGGTGTACTTGACTTAAAGCAGTTTTTATTGGAAACGTGACTACTTGGAGGTAATGCGCAATGAAATTTTTGAATGTTTTTGTATAAAATATTCATAAATATAAATTAGTTCCTATGATATAATTATGTTTTTAACTTTAAGGCAGCAAGCTTCTGTTACAGACTTGTTTTACGACCCAATGAGATTTATCAGACAAACCAACTTTTTGAAAATAAGAATAGTTTTGCTTCTACTTGTGACTGAACTGATTTCCTTAATTTTTCTCTTCCCCCCCCACCCAAGAAGGAAGAGTGGAAAGCAAAGGTGTGGATTTAGATGCCGCAGCAGTAAGAGTCCAGCCCCCAGCTCATCTTCTGCCCCCGCTGTTACTTCGTCAGCTTGCGCCAATGCCACCACCTGCGCAGGCGATCTCCCAACCTGCTGGACAACCTGACCCTCTCCCTTCAAAGCTTCAGCCTGTCTACACAGACACAGTAAGGACATTTAAAACCATCATGAAGTATTTGGGAAAGATCTGTGAAATATAATAAAAGGTAACGGAGTTCTTAGGTTGTATTCCTTTTCGAGAATCTGCGTGTGTTACGTAGAGCCAAAAAGGAGACACTCTGCTTCAGTGCTGTGGATCCTTTAAGAAGTTGTTTCCTTGAACTGCTCTGAAAAGAGAAAGTCTTGAGTGATTTCAGATGCAAGCCTGAAATGACAGTGCTTGCTCTTACTCCTTCATAGGATAGTCTTGTCTGTTTAGCATTTATTTGGGAAAACTCTTAAAGAGAGAGCCAGAAAGTGACCGTAGGAGGTGATTATTTTGACTTACTGGGTAAACTTTGCTTTAGTGAATAGTAATGAGCTGTTTTTTGATGGCACGTATTTCAAATCAGACATGACAAAGATTCTTTTTGTGAATATATGACTATTAACATTGGGTCTTGAATGTGTACCCCGTGTATCTCTGCTGTTCCCCTTTTTCTCCCTCCCACACAAGTTTAGATATGTACTGATGCTGAACTCATCTTGGGAGTGTCTCACTTCTTTGTGAAGTACAGCTGCTGTATTCTGCCTAAATGTGGCTACATTTTGCTGAAGATTAGACCTGGTCATCTGGAATTAAATTGGCTAGTACTTGTAGAGCAATGGCAACTCTAGAAGAAACTGTCAAGTACAAAAATAGGAATCCCTCTCAAAATCCACTTTTCTTAGCTGTGATTTCCTAATTTGGCTTGTCCATATTTAATGCAGAAACAAAAATAAGCTTTTGTTTCTAGGCTGTTGTTAACCTTTTAGATATTCTAAAATTTCCAGACTGTTGTTTGATTAAGTTAGCTTAGTTTGTAAGTAGAAGTACAGATGGCTAGTAGAAGTAACAATCAGTTAAACAAAACTGGAAGGCCTTGCTCCCAGTTCACAGGTGCACCCAGGACATCCTGAGCAGGACTGTGCATCTTGCTTCAACTGCTTCGTCTGCTGTGTTGTAGGATATCGCCGAAGTAGTGGACGGGCTCGTGCATGATGTCCTCAAAGGAGAGTGCAGAGAAGTCGGCAGAGCAGGAGTGGCTTATGTGACTGCTGCCATCTGGTAAAGAACATTTATTGCTGATACTCCCGGAGTCTGTTGTCAAAGCTGCAATTTGCCATAGCAGCACCATGTGTGAAGGTGATAAAACTAAGCAAGGTCTATAGCGGAGACTCTTACTGATACGGTTGAGGGAAAAGCAGACCTTTCTTCAGAAGTCTGCTGCGCACTAGCTGGCCTAATGAAAGGCTAACTGCCAACCTCTGCAAACCTTGCCTTGCATGACAGTCGCACCACTGCCACAAGAAACGTGTGTTCTGGAAGGGGAAGGTGCTTGAAGGGGGACAAAAGGAGTAAGTCTGGATCTGGCTTCTTCTGTGCTTCAAATAACACTGCCTCTCCAAGGCAGTTGGGAGAGTGGTAGACGTGGGTTGGTGACCAAAGCCGTGTTATTAATGCCCCAATGTTTTGGGTATTGCTGAACAGCACGGTGTCAGGGCCTGCCTTGTTTCCCACCCTGCACCCCTGCGAGTAGGCAGGGGGTGTGCTGGAGGCTAGGAGGGGACTCAGCTGGGACAAGCTGACCTATACTGACCAAAGGGATAGTCTGTACTGTGTGGTGTCATGGTCAGCAATAAAACTAGGTTAGAGGAAGAAGAAAGTGGGGTTTTCCGGCTTCCAGGGATGGACATTGATTGGAGACTGGCCGGGCGTTGGTCTGCCTGTGGGAGGTGGTGGCTGATTGCCTTTGCTTTGCTTGGTAGGGGTGTGGGTGTAGTATTCCTGCCTTCACCTATTACAGTGTCTTTATCTCTATCTGTGAGTTTTCTTGCTTTTGTTCTTCCTATTTTCTCCCCTGTCCCTGTGTGGGGCTGGGAGTGAGCTAGTAGCAGCGCAGGTGCTTGACTGGTGGCTGGAGTCAACCCACCACAACAGAGCAAGGGTCTGCTTGAGAAAAGCACAGACGTAGAGCTTTGAATGAAAACTTTCTGGCTTTGAAAAGAGACTTGCTGTTTCTGCACAGCACCTCGGAGGCCATCGTGGAGGAACTGGTGACTGAAGCGGTGGAGGAGATCCTCAGACAAGTGGCTGGAAGCGTGCTCAGCGCAGAAAAGGAGCGTGTCAAAGAGGAGAGGCGCAGAGTGGAAGAAGAGAGGTGAGTTGCTGCTTTTGCTGTGGGGCAGGGTGGGCCGTATACACCCTTAGGATGACAGCTGGTGCCAACCCAAGTCCTTGCATGTGTGCTCAGGCCCCGTGTCTTTCTGCCATGCCAACAGCGCTCAGTTTGTCTCACCTTGAACTGCCCTGCCTGCAGACAGGCTATCCCTTTCACGTTCTCAGGTGATCTGCTAGTTAGTGTTTTGGTGACCTGACAGAGCCACTGTGAAAATGGTGGGTTGGAATTTTGGGAACTTTTATTCACCCAGAGCTTCCAGAGAGGGAGATGCATCCTGGCCCTGCTGTATGCAGGAACTTTTCCTTCTGAGCTAGTTATCTGCAGCTTACTGGGGTAGGAACAAAATAACCCAACCTGTGTTTGAGGGAAATCTGGCTCCATGCAAAGCTGTTTAGAGAGCAAAACCAGCTCGTGGGAACTCAATTTTAGGTGAATTAGCTGTCTGACACTGTGTGTAGCGCTTGTGTAGCTAAGCAGCAGGTTTACCGGCGTGACTCTTTTTACCGGCGTGACTCTTTTTACCGGCGTGACTCTTTTTACCGGCGTGACTCTTTTTACCGGCGTGACTCTTTTCTCTCTCCTTCCAGGCAAAAGCAGAAAAGAGAGCAGTTAATAGAGCAGTTGAGCCAGTTGATGGGTATGGAGTTAATGGAAGAAGTAATAAAGGAGAGCGTTCAAGAAGCTTCAAACAACGAGTTAAAGTACGTACAACATACTGTATGCTATACTTTGTTGTAAGATGCTTTCCTAAGGGTAAGAATTTGTCAGGGAGTGGTGGGCTTCTTGCTTGGCCTTCTCTGAGGTCATCTTCAGTAAGCTACTTGAGAGGGAAAGTGTACTTGATTGTACAACAGGCTGCCAGTTTGCAGTCACACTGTGTTGGGCAGTAGTGGTCCTCCAGGGTGGAGGAAATAGAGGCTTTGTCTAGGACAAGGCTGCCCTGTGTGCTTACTTTTATTCTGACTCCATTACGGCCCAGCTGTGGGCTCTCTTGTAGACCCTTCTTTGGAAGCCCATGATCACTGTAAAACTTTAATGACTTCTAGTTGATTACAAGTCTTACTTAGAAGTGCCACAGAGTAGAAGTGTGGAAAATCCCTTCCCTTTGCTAAATGTGATGAGGTCCTCCCCGTTTGCGCCTTGGCTAATTGCTGTAGCCTCTGCCTCACTAAAGGTCTTGGTTTGTTTCATTTTGAACTAGATGTGCCTTAGAAAGAGACCGGCAAGCCCGTATTGCCCGCTGTTCAGAAGAAGTCTGCGGTCACGTCATGGACTTCTTTCTGGAGGATGAGATTTTCCAGATTGCTAAGGAAACCCTTCAGGAGCTCCAGTGTTTCTGCAAGTACTTGAAACGGTGAGTTACCATGCTGTGACACAACTGCTTTTCTTGGGAGCGTTGGCACGGGGTGGTTAATAGAGTTTTCACTACAGCTGTCTAGTTGCATTGGTTTTGCTGTCTTCCTACCTCCACTGTGAGGGTAGATTTACAGTCTTGTTACCAGCCTCTAATGAGTTTCTCAGCTGTATGTGGAGAGAGGAGCACATCTCATCAGAGTTAGGTAATAAGCTTGGTAGGAGATTTCCAGCTTCGTTCTATATAGAAACTTCGTATTCTTTCTGTTGAAGGCTTGTTTTTCTGGATGTGTGTTCAGTGGCTCTTGGGATGCTCCAAGGCGGAGATTTGTTTCTCCCTGTACCGTGCTGCCATAGTGCAGCTAGGCTGAGGTGCGTTTTGGGTGACATCTCTCACTGCTAAAGGGGAAGCAACAGGCTAGTCTCTTTTCTGTGGAACACTGTTTGTTGCAGAGTTCTTTCTGTCCTTGAGTTCATGAGTCTTTTTAGGGCATGTGTTAATAGCCTTCAGTGCAATAGGGAAGACTAAGGATGAGCATAAAGATACATGAAACGAGTGTACATGCAGCAGTCCAGAAAACTGGATGATGCAGAAATATTTTTATAAGCCCTAAAAATGCCTGAGGAAACACAACAATGATTTTTAATTCTTAAATTGGTGGTTTTGTGTTATAACACTGTAGGGTGCCACCCATTTTGAATCATTTGATCATAGAAAAATATACAAACATCTAATGATAAAGGCTTTATTGGATGTTCTCTCCTTGTTGGTGAATTTGCCTTTTTAAATTAAAAAAGAGGCATACCTTTCTTACTGCAGTAGATGTTGCAAAAGTATTTTCAGCAGCTGCTTGAGATATCAGAGAAGCTTTATAATGGATCATTGTAAACGCTCTATGTGCTAGGAATAAACATGCTGAAAACAGAGAAGGAAAACCGTGCTTGAGCTTTTGCCTGAGGAGCAGCACAGCTAGGACAGCTGAGCAAGGGATGAGATGGAAGAGAGGCAATCCTTCTTCCCTCCTGTCATCTGTCTGGCCGCTGAGAGCAAGCGCAGATTGCTAAGCAGAGCACTGCTCCCTTTTGTCTGTATTGCACTTTTTTTTTTTTTAACGGAGCACAAGGCTGCCTGGTTTGGACACTGCATGTGTACAGCTGGCAGCTCTTGTCCTGTGCACGCTCTGTTTGAGCTGTGAGTTTGTGGCTGTGTGTGGAAATACGGCCGGAGCCTGCAGGAGCACCCACACGCACCGCCTCACTTCTCCTGTGGGCAGACTGCGACTTGCAGCATGTTTGAGAGCCCGATCTGGTCTGAAGAGCAAAGGTGAGAAAACCTGTGTGGTCTGCAGGTGAGTTGATTACTGTGACCTATTTGTCTGTTCTCTTCCAAAGGTGGAGGGAGGCAGTGGCAGCTCGAACAAAGTTGAAACGTCAAATGAGGGCATTTCCAGCTGCCCCCCGCTGCACAGATCCAAAAAATAAACTGAAGGCACTGTCCCCCAGTGCAGAGTGGCCTATAGCCATGGAGAATTTGTGCAAGAGAATTGTAAACCTGGGGAATGGAGGAAAGCTGGGGATCTCTTGCACGAGGTAAGGATATTTATAGTGACAGCAGCTGGCAATCTGCTTGATTTTTTGGAAGGCAAGTTACAGAGGATCCACCTTCTTCCGTTGTGAACCTTAGTGGTTTTGCAAAACTGTTTTGTTCCTAACTACCCCCAGAAAGATGCTTTCTTCACAAATGCCATGACAAAGACTGCAAAGCTAAAGAAACTTTTCTTCTATTAATGGAAACTTTCTAAAGTGTCTGCAGTACTCCTCAGGTCTTAGTGAGTGTTTTTTAAATTTGGTTAAAGTACTTGTTTCATACCAAAAATTAAAAACTAAGAATCTTTTGTTTCCAGATTGAATTGGCTGAGAAGCAAGACAGCGCATGAAATTAAAGTTCAGCACTTCTACCAGCAATTGTTAAGGTATGTTGGCATTTGATCCTTGTTTTCTTTCTAAGCAAATTGTAACAGAAATACCAGAGGTCTCAGAAATGTCAGTGAGGAATGGCAAATGATACTTGAGTGTCCACTTGCACTTGCTTCTGGGATTATTTTCCAGATCTGAGAAACTGGTAGATAAATTCATGAAAGTGTTAAGCCGTCTGATCCTATTGTAACTTTAAGGATCTGATGGATATTATGGGGTGAGGTTTTTTTATACCTGGGTGGGATGAGGCCTGGGCTGGGATATAGGGGGAGAGGAGAAATTGAGCTGTTACTGGCCTGGCTTGTGGCATGAAGGGATTGACATAGGTGTCAGCAAGACGTCTGCCTTCTTGTGGCTTGTCATGCGCTCTAGTGGCCTGTGTGTTTATTGGAGCCAGGATATTGAAGTGGTGTGGAAGTGAAGCAATGCACATAAGGTTCCACAATCCCCAAAGTAAGGCTCATGTAACAGATTTAGCAGCTGCAGTTCTTGAAGGTGTCTTGTCTGTGGTGAAATACATCGGCAACAGATGTAAGGAATTAACTCTAATTTTGAACAGTAGCTTCTTCCAATATTGTAGCTTGTTCAAAGCAAAAAAACCATTTCCCAGGTGGAAATGAGCATGAGGGGAGTCTTTTCACCAGCTTTTGTCTCTCTCCAAGTGATTTAGCATGGACTCCCCTGGATCTTGTCTCGTTAATCACTGAACATATTCCAGTTCAACAAGAACAGGTGTTTTGGAAGGTGTTACTGGTTTTGCCAAATGATGATGAATATGCGGAGGATGATCCCAACAGGTAAGAAAGAGCCCATTGCTGGGTCCCTTTCTCAAACATGGCAGTCAAAGAGAAGGAAAATACTAGGAAACATTTAGTCCTTGATGTATGTTTTTCCCATCTTGTGTCAAATTTCCAGTTTGTTGGGTCTTTTTTTCTCCAGAGTACTCTAAATAATATAGCTATAATTTAATGCAGTGATCTGTATCTTCTCCTGACATTCTTCATTGCATTCCTTTTGCTCATACTGAAAACAGAAAACCTTGAGATATGTAGCCTGTGGATAATTTCAGGATGTTTCATAGCCATTTAGCAAAATCCAAGCAATATGAACATTGAGGTTATGATAGATTGTGGTGTCTTAGAGCTGTTGGTGGTGCTAAAACCCTAAAATGCCATTTTTAAAAACAAAAACCCCAAAAGACCACTCTTTCTTGGTTGCTAGGGTACTGGTGGATTGGTTGAAAGCCAAATTTATGGGAGACAAAAGCTGGAAGAAAAACGCTTCACATATAGAAGGCAGAATTCAAACACTGACGTTGTTTACTTCTCCTGGCATGCAAGGGAGCAGAAGCATTAAAGTCAGTGTGTGTATCAAGGTAGGTGAGGACAATTTTGTGATACTTAACAGGCTATAAAAGCAGGATGTGCTCTTTTCCAGTGGATGTTATGCGGAGTCTTTTAACGCTGTGTACCGTCAGATGGAGGGAGATGATATTGGGAAGGGTGGGATTGTTGAAAAGGTCTGAAAAAAGATGTTTTTTTTAACTTGTTTCCAGTGAACTGAGTAAATACCTGCCTAAATACAATGCAATAGTTAGAACCTTAATTATCTCAATTCCTGATGCCAAATCAGGTGCTGAAGTGAGCACTTCTGTGCTCACTTGCATCTGTTGGACACATCCGTGTTTGTCTGTCTAACAGCTTATTGTCTTGGGATTTGTAGAGCTCCTGGTAACGAATGTCAAAGCTGAATGCTAATGATAGTAAACTGCAGATTTTTATATGCAGATAGCTTTGTTTAGCTACGTTACTATTGTCATCTTTGTTACTTGTATAGGTGGCATATGGTGCGCTCTCTGACTCTGAGCTTGACACGGCTGAGATGCAAAAAGACTTGCTTGGAACCAGTGGTCTCATTCTTCTCCTGCCCCCTCGAGTTAGGAGTGACGATGTTGCAGAAGATGATGTTTACTGGCTTTCAGCTTTGCTGCAGTTGAAGCAGTTGCTTCAGGCCAAACCTTTCCACCCAGTAGTTCCCCTGGTGGTTCTAGTCCCCAGTCAGGAAGAGGAGGCCACAGAGAAGGAAGTAGAAGAAGGTATATAGTTATTTCTGTGACAACAATGTGAATGTTTGAGGGTGCCCCACATAGAACTGTTGGGACTAGTGCAGCCTCTCAAATATATTATCTGGTAAAGGGAGAGACTGTGAAGCACAATACTTTTCAAAGCTTTGCTAGAAATTCTGAGGTCTTAAGAACTGATGAGTAGTGAAAGAGATGAACTTTCTTTTGGCTTACAGTTTTCCTTTGCATATAGTATTTGATCCTGAGAGTCTGCGGGAAAGGGTGGGAGAGAGAATTGATGCTGTGAATGTATGCAGAGTGCAAGACTAGGTCAGAGTAGAAGGTACCCATTTGTTCTTTCTCTGTGGGTTTTCTTATTTTTAAGGTTTGATGCTGCAGGATTTGATTTCAGCCCAGCTTATTTCAGACTACACCATTGTTGAGCTCCCAGGTTCCATCAATGACTTACAAGGCACCAGAAGGGTAAGACCTGTGTCATGGTTTAACCCCAGCCAGCAACTAAGCACTGCACAGCTGCTTGCTCACTCCTCCACCTCTCCCCGTGGCACGGGGGAGAGAATCGGAAGACTAAATAAGGAGAAAGCTCATGGGTTGAGATAAAGACAGTTTAATAGGTAAAGCAAAAGCTGCACATGCAAGCAAAGGAAAACAAGGAATCTGTGCACTGCTTCCCATGGGCAGGCAGGTGTTCAGCCATCTTCAGGAGAGCAGGGCTCTATCACGTGTAACAGTTACTTGGGAAGACAAACTCCATCACTCCAAATGTCCCTCCCTTCCTTCTTCCCCCAGATTTATATGCTGAACGTGACGTCATATGGTATGGAAAAACCCTTTGGTCAGCTGAGGTCAGCTATCTCAGCTGCGTCCCCTCCCAACTTCTTTTGCACCCCAGCCTGCTCGCTGGTGGGGTCATGTGAGAGGCTGAAAAGTTCTTGACTCTCTGCAAGCACTGCTCAGCAATAATGAAAACACATCTGTGTTATCAACGCTGTTTTCAGCACAAATGCAAAACATAGTCCCATACTAGCTTCTGTGAAGAAAGCTAACTTTATTCCAGCCAAAACCAGCACATTCTCCACCCCTTATTCCATACTATTTATGTCATGCTCAGGTACCACACTATCCAATACAAGCTCGTTAGCCACCACCCCCCTTCTCATCCTTTGATACAATACGCAGATACCATTCTCTAAGTCTATGGACCACCACTGTAAAATGCCCATAAACTGTCCACAAAATGTCCATCGAGTTCACTTAGTCCATAGAATCACAGAACGGTTTGGGTTGGAAGGGACCTCAAAGATCATCTAGTTCCAACGCCCCTGTCAGTGGCAGGGGCACCCCCCACCACCACCAGATGGCTCAAACCTCACACGTCCAGCCTGACCTTGAACACTTCCAGGGATGGGGCTTCCACGGCTTCTCTGGGCAACCTGTTCCAGTGCCTCACCACCCTCAGTGTAAAAAATTTCTTCCTTCTATCTAATCTAAATCTCCCCTCTTTCAGTTTAAAGCCGTTGCACCTTGTCCTATCACTACTAGACTTTGGGCTCTGTCTGTTGTGGTGGTCACTCAGGACAGGAGAGGTGGTGTGTTTTGTCAAGTTACTGGGCACCAACTAAAGCCGGCTGAGGTCGGGTTACTACTGCGCTTACACTGCTTCTTTTAAGGCTTGTCCTACATTGCTTCAGCTGACTCCTGCTATTGTAATTCCTATAACATGCAATTCAAATTATGGGTAACAACAATTTAAAGGTATTTCCATTACAGTCTCCACCCTGATCCCTTTGGACCAGAGGATTTAACATTGTAATAAACTTCTCCCCTTGTCTCTGCTCTGGCTTGGACTTATCCACAGACTGCAGTCCCTTAGGGTTGTACCTGCTCCAAGTGGAGCCTTATCTATGAGCCACAGTCTCTTCAGGGGTATACCTGCTGTGGCATAGACTTATCCATAGCCACAGTCGCTCTGAGGTACACCTGTTCCAATGTGGCCTTATCCATGGACAACAACGCCTTCAGAGATACACCTGCTCTAGCATGGTCTTTCCCACAGCCACAGTCCCTTCAGAAGTAAACCTGGCCAACATGGCCTTGCCCATGGCTGCAGTCCCTCTTGGGCTACACCTGCTCTGTCACAGGCTTATCCACGGCCACACACTTTGAGGTGATCCAGCATGACCTCATGCCACTGATGCATCAAGGTGTACCTGCTGCAGCGTGGACTTACCCACAGCCACAGATGCTTCAGGTGTACCTTCTCCAGTATCACATGAAGAGACACTTGACTGGTTTATCATTAACCTCTCAATTACTAATGCCTTATGAAAAACTATTGTAGCTTAAATTGCATCTGAGTCTTGGGTAATGGTGTTCTCTGTTGAAGTTTCTGTAACACAGTTTTTGTCCAAAGAAAGTTCTTAGCATTTTTTCCGCACACCTGAACGTGCTGGGGTTGGGTATTTGTTTGTTAATAGTGATTCCAACATCAGCCAGAACTATTCTGAAATGAAATACCTCTGCTACTTCTCCTTTATTTGTGACTGTCCTGTTTTTACTGACTAGAAATCAGCGGCATTTGCTATAGTTTCAGCTGCGTAATACTGAAAACTGTAGTGAGACCGAAACGTGGCTTACGTAAACCCGTTGTTGTCTCTCCTGCCTGCTTTGGCTAGCAGGGGTGCCGTGGCTCCTAACAGATGAGTGCTAGTGGTGAGGAACCCTTTGTACCCTTAAGCTTCCAGCCCTAAAATACAAAGGACCCTTTGTAGCTGCTCTGGCTGCTGTGAGATCACTCAGTATTGTTCCATCTTGGCTGATGGGACTGAGGGATGCCTCTGTCTTCTTGCACACGCAAAGAAGGATTGTACAGATCTCTCCCTGGCAGCCTCCACAGACACCAGCCCTTTCCCCTTGTCCTTCAGAACACTACATGCTTGGCAGTAGCGGCTTGGGGACTACTCAAAAACCTGTGATAGAAAACGATACTTATAAATCAAAAATAGAGGTTTTTTTTGTGTCTGAGTCACAGTGGGGTGTTTAGAGAGGTGGGAGAGCATAATGGCAAAGAATGGCCAAGCTGACTCAAACCAAAAGCAGCTCCAGCCTTGTATTTATAGAGTCATAGAATGGCATAGACTGGAAGGGACCTCAGAGATCATCTAATCCAACCTCCCTGTCATGGGCAGGGACGCCTCTCAACTAGATCAGGCTACTCAAGGCTCCGTTCAACCTGGCCTTGAACACCTCCAGGGAGGGGGCATCCACAACTTCTCTGGGCATTTTATTCCAAAGTCTTACCA